AAATGTGGTATAACAGCTTACCACATCCTGCTACCGTGGCATCTGCTGTTTAGCAAAGGAAAGGTTCCTCTTTCAGTTGCCTTGACAGGTAGAGGTGTCACGTGTTCCCTGCATTTCTCAGCATTATTACTTTTTTGAGTTTATGTCAGTGGAAAAGCTGAACATGACAATGGAAAGTATCAGTTGAGGGAAGGCACTGTGGGGAACTGTAGGTGTTAGCTATAAAAGCAACAATGTCCCCACTCCCCAAAGCCAACAGAAAAACAGATGAAAAAATCTGATGACAAAAGTGCTGTAAATCATTTTACTAAACTGTTTGATCTGCTAGGGATGAACCTATTGCTTAACGGAAGTGTTATGCTAATACATGCATTGAAAATTAAACATTTGCCTGCTAGTCAAGAACAGCACCAAAGCTGTATCAGGCACCACCTCAGATCAAGTAATTCACTGACTCTTGTCTGCTGTGTCTGCAAAATGGGTCTTTTTGAGTACTAAGGTTATGTTGTTTAAAAGGCGAGCACAAACCCTTTGCAACCTTTCTCTCAAAAATGTTACCCTCATTCAAAATTCAGCTACTCCTGGAATGTTACTACGAATTTGAATGCACCTGTATCCAAGCAGCAGCTGACTCAAAGACCAACATTTGCTTCAGAAATGAAATTCAAACCCAGGCCGAAATACTGCTTGTACTGAATACTGCTGTTCTCTGTAACACACACAGTACTCTTGTAGTAACAGATCTGTAAGCCAAAACCAGAGCCCTCATGACAGCAATCGGCAGACTCTTCTCAACTATATTAATAAGTATTTTGTTAGAAACCTGGAATCTAAGAGAAAAAAAAAAATCCAGCAGTATCTTGGACCTCTCTCTGAGGAATTGTGCAGTGGCCCTACAGTACCACCCAGCGCCATGAGGATCCCAAGTGGAAGGGCTGTGATGGATGGCAAAGGAGATGGTGAGCAAGGAGCAATCAACTCTTTCACCGATACAAGAATGAAATTATCAAGTAACAAGCTTAAAAGAAAAGGAAGCACTTTTTCACCCGACACGTCCTTAAATCTCAGTACCTATTGCTGCAGGAAATCTTGAAGATCAGAACAGGTTCAGAAAGATGTTAGAAAACTTCATGGAAGAAACTTAATCAAAGTTCATAAAAAATTTAGATGCACATCTCCAGTGTCTCCTGAAGTCCTCCATCAGTCAGAAGTTATGATGTACTGGAGAAAGCAGCACTGGAGGAGAGCCCTGTTTTTACACTGTTTCCCAAACAACTGGGTATTGGCAGTTGAGAGATGTGGCACAAACAGACATACAGGATGCTTCTGCAGAGCCGTACTTGAGTAATAGCTTTCTTGATTTATTGGTGAGAAGGATGATTTTGGGGTCAAGCCTAAACAAAAGCATTTTATGTTTTCTTGCTCCCCAAAAAACAGCTTGGGACTCAAACAAAACATTTCATTTGATCCAACATAAATCATTTCCTTTACTCTGCAGCAAATATTGTAATGTGTTTTAGAGTCTAAGGGTACTATTTCCCTTTAGCTTTAAAAGGCGTTTTGCAGAGACTTGAAACAACAAGAACAAAAATATTGACGTTAAAGACCTTTTTTTCTCTAAGCCAAAATTACTTGGAAAATGTCATCTATATTTTCATGTGTGACCCAGAACAGAACTTGTCCCGCCAGCAGGTTTCTCTTCAAAATCCGTTTCCCAGAGGTGAAGGAGGAGCAGGGGGCCCTCACGGCACTGCTAGAGCCGCGCAGCTGGAGGAGGCCAGGAGGATCTTTCTAGAAGTCCAGAGCAGCCATGAGGCTGCACGTTGCCCCTTGGCCAAGGCCCGCGCGCGCCCGCTGCGCGACTGGGCCGTGTCGCCCGCCGCAGGGTGTTCCCTCGCGGGCTCAGGTGCCTCAGCGGCCGCGAGGGAAAGCCCACGCTCAGCGCACTTCCCCTTTCACCTCCTCACACAGATGCTACTTCTGAGCTCGCTCCCTGGTCGTAGGGTGATGTCGGTGGCTGCGTGAGACAACATACTGTTTCGCTTCAGGCTTGTAACCCTGTCCATTTTGTCTTTTTGTCTTTTTTTTTTCCGATGTGCTGCTGGGACTTTCTGTGCCCTCAGCACCGTGGCAGATGAAGGGGGTGGATGAAGGTGAAATGAAGAGGCCAGCAGACCAGCCCCGAGGAGCTGTCTCTGAGCCCAACCACCCATGGGCACCACAGGAGAAATGCTAAACCTTTTTCTTGCCTGTTTGGATCACATTTGTTTGTGATATCTGGAGGCAGTCGCTGCGCGTAAGGAAGTCTCACTGAGTACATGCTAACATTGCGTTGTGATGGGTGTTAAACTGTTAAATGTTATATGAGGACTACATCCCATGATGTCTACATCCATCCGGATCGCAGAGGTCCATCTCTTGCGAAAGTTACATCTAATAAGAATGAACGAAACAGCTGCAGGCGGAATCCTTTCCCTCTTGCAGTCAATAATGTAATTGCAAGTGATTTCAATAGGACGCAGATTGGATCTTGTCACCGTTGAGCCTCTTTGCTGAGTACTGGGAGCACCAAAGGACCTTGGACCCCTTGGGCCCACCCATGGTCCCCAGATGGGTGGGTCGGCTCGCAGCTGAAAGGAAAGGGCAGGTCATGGCTAGGAGTAAGCAATTTTGCTGGTACCACGTGAGTGACGGTGGATTCGTCTGGAGGCACCTAATGTGGCTGGAAAAGGCAATGTCTAAGTGCCTAAGCTATCCTGAGGATGGATTTGGGGCTTTGAGGTCCTTATGCCGCTGATCTGCTTTTGAAATATTTTCTCAAAATGTTTTAGTGTGGGGAGGCTCAGGCTGGGGAAAAGGGAACATTACTTTTGAAAGTTTTAGTGAGCAAATTGAGATGATAGAGTACTACAGATGTGCCGTGGGGTTAGCCCAAGATTCAAAATATTTGAATACTAATCCTGACTAAGTTGAGGGGGCTCCTCAGCTCTTCTGCATCCTTGTCCTCATCTGCAGACTACTGATCATACTTAACATTTCTGCTTCACAGAGGTGCTGTAAAGATTCATTATTTAATGCTTCTAAATAATATGTGTTGAAGGACTAACAAATGATATCTTTATTTTGTTTGGCATAACGGAAACCTACAGGGAGAGTTATCAAAATTGTAACTCTAGCCCATATGAGAACTGGTTTTCATTGCCACACTCGGCACAAAGATACCACTGTGTGTGTTTGCTGGATACCCAATGTTGCTTCGAGAAGTTTATCTAAGAAACTATCTTTACAAAAGCATCATGGAAAAATCATCCCACAGAAAAAAAAAAGTGCATTGTTTGCATTCAAGATAGACATTCAGTTCAGAAAACTGTCCAAAGTCTTCTAGCATGTAAATAGGGTAGCGTTTATTGCCACGTTAGCACGTAGGCAGGGTATTCTTTCTCACGGAGCAGGACTTGCTGCTTAACTTTATTTCCACTGTTTTGAAATATTGAAGATAAACTCCCCAAAACTCTCCAGGGAGAGAACTGCATTGTCTTCACATCTCATTTCCATATTGCTCTTAATTTGCTGCCGTAAAGAGGTAATTGCAAATACAAATGATATGTCCTAGTTGAAGTAAGGGCATGCATATCCATGGTGTACGCGGTTTCAGTGGCCAGGACCTGTGACACAAATCCTGACTGATCCATGTGCTGTGTTTGCAAACTGGGCAATAGGTCTGCAGAGGAACAAAAAATAAAAGCCCGAACTAATTGCTTCAGGAAGCTGGTTTTATACAGGCTTGGCCTTTTCCAGTAAACACGTGGAGTTATCTGCATGGCCATGAGCAGCAGCCCACAAGCAAAGGAAAACTCGGGCTTTTCCATGGCAGTTCCATGACGTGAGCATGTGTTTCCCACTCCCAGTAGTGCTGGGGAAACTCTGCAGCGGCGATAGCCTTCCTGATGGCATTTGGTCTATCTGGTCTATCTGCATGTAAATCAGGTGGTGGCAGTGGCGGCAGGGAGGTGGGGTGGAAACGAAAGGGATGTTGTGTAGTTCACTGCAGATGGCCTTTGCCAGGTTCAGTCATTTCCTGTCCATCTGCCAAAAATCACAAGCTGATAAATGGACATAATTTGAGTGTGGGAAACTGTATTGCTTGATGATCTGCAGGGGAGGGGGAAAAGAATGGGAGAAGACTCCCAAGTGAAGAAAACAGCGCTTTGTCGGTGGAGGTGGTCTGAGTGGCCGATGCTGAGATAAGGGGCCCTGTTTACTCCTTTCTTCGACTCTTGCCAAGGGCTTTAACTCGCCCATCCCCTCCCGTCTGCCATTCCTGATGGGATCAGAGGCTGCTTGGCCGTGTGGATTTGTCAATATGAAAGGAGAGCACATATATGGAGAACACATTTATGCTTGTTACCAGCTATCAGGAACGGGGCAAGCCCACGGCAGTTTTGTTTCTTTTTCTTTCCTCCTTTTTTTTCTTTTTTTTTTTTAGTCATCCCACAGTGGAAAAAAAATCAGCATGTGAAGCCCTATTCTATCTAGGCATGGCAGCTTCAAATACCCTGTTAAGCAGCTGGCAGCTCAGCGCTGTTAGCATGTGCCATGGCTGACATACTTTCCAATGGCTCTTTTTCTGGAACGGGTGGTTCATTCGAAGGCTTCCTGCGGTCCCTTACTTGGAGTTTGAGAGCCAGTTGTGGAGCAAATGAAACGTTTTGCCTGTAACTGGTTAAAATGTTAAAAAAGTTGGATGCAATCAAGGGTGCAGGGTGCTGCTGTTCTTGTTTGGTTTTACCCAGTATTCAGCATGTTAATAACCTCGGTTAATGCTGCTGTTCTGCACTGTGGCCAGCGTGTGCTAGCTCCTTCATGGTGTTACGCTTCGTGTTCAGAACCACGCTCAAACTGTGAAGAAACAAGTTTGGGGGGTTACTTGCTGAAAACACAGGTCTGCAGCAGCGTGATTCTAACCAGTTCATTTTCTTTCTTGTGTTCTTTCTTTGCAGTAAATGAAATTATAAGGAATGACCTTTCCAGTACCAACGTCCATTCATAGCTTGCAATGCTGGCCTAGCATGAAACCCACACTTTTGACTTAGCTGGTGTGTGTCAGCTAGAGCACAGAGACACCGCGTAGACTGAAGACATTGCCTGGTACCACTGCCGCCTTCCACCTCACTGAACGTTAAGAACTGAAGATTTGCCTCTTGCTCACAAAGAAGTGGTTCTTCAGCGGATGAAATACCTTCTTTAAAGAAAATCATCTCAAGAGGAGGGAAAAAAAAATAAAAAAGGAGGGATAAAACTCCAAGATGGCGCATTTCATGGGACAAAACTAGGAAACTCAGCAAAATCTGATTGCTTCTTCCCAGTGCTGGTCTTTTTGGCATGGCATCGCTGGAATACAGCCCTGGAAGTGCCTTATTTTACCAGGTTGTGGCATCGGGGCATTTTTAATAAGCTTTGAATTTGCTCTCATTAAAAGTGCTGGTAGGCGCAGAAGCGGTAGAGCTTGCATTCTGGAGAGTGATATTTGGAAACCGAAACCATGAGACTGTGTAGCAAAGAGGGGCGAGAAATCCCCGCTCCAGTAAGATGTGTTTATGAATTCCAGAATTTCTTCAGCTTTTCCTCTGCTGTAATGTACAGCTTGTTGCCTTATTCTCAGTGCATTTCAAAAGCCTCTTGATTTGTCATCATCTCAGCTCTTTCTTTTTCATATTGTCTTTATTATGTGCTAGTGAATCATAGGATTGTTAGTAGTAGCATGTTAAGATTTTGATTTTAATCCGGCTTCAGTCATAGCACAAGTGAGTTGAATAGCACAAAATAAAAAAGGTTGATGGACAAAAAAATAGAAATCTATCTATTACATGATAGATGAATGTGTATGCATGTACATACATACTAGTATATATGCATATATTTATATATGACATAATATAGATGATTGCCTAGTGAGGGCACTGAATTTAGCAATAATTTCAATTTCTGAGAATGCATTTCAGATCCACAACAAATATTTCAGCTACTTCTTTGGAGGGTTTGTTGCACCTAAAGCAGGTATGCATTTTCTTTCCTCATGCAGTTAAGCAAGCACTTTAGATAGGCAAGAAGGATGCATACAAAATACACGTTATTTACCAAATGGCAAAATATGAATTAAAGTAACTGTAAATACCATTATGGAAGAGTGTAAAATATTTGTTCAATTATAATATTATTATTCCGCAGAAGCCTTATAACTCTCTGCTACATGTATGAAAAAGGATATTACCAAAAAACCACAAAGGTTTAATATGCAGCGCTGTATAGTGTGTTTTCCGATTAGCTGATGTTTCTGGAGCTACAGATAGGCATGTAGGGTAGCCTCTAACATTGTATTTTTTACAATCAACCGCTTACTATATAACTAGCAACAACCTATTATTTCATATAACCAAAAAATCAAAATCAAAATAAAAATAGCATGACTTAAATTAAAAATGTTTAACATTAATATTGTGCCTTAGGAATCTATGCCCCCTTCTGGAAATACACCTGAACTACTCCTCCGTGCCGAGGTAACTCATTAGCCACCATGCAATGATGATTGAACAGGTTTCACAAAAAGGTGAAATCCTCCTAAACGTTTTAAACCATTATTCTGTATAGTTATGTCTTACTTTCTTTTTACAAAAGCCATATTTGTCACATTTGCACATTACTGTGAAGACATGAGAATATAATATGGCTATATGTACATAATATGCTGTTATCAGTCCTAATAATAGGCTGTTGTTCCTCACCTGTTTAATCCCAGTTATTTACCCTGTATTTAGCATTGTAGAAGTTGCATGAGACATTTCTTATAGACTGCCATATGAAAAGTAAAAAGGCTGGCAGATGTCAGCTTGACTTGTAGCTAGAAAATAGATCCAATAAAGCAAAATGTTTTGCTGGAAGCTAGTCTTAGAGTGGTTCATTTTATGTTATCTTGACAAATCTTCCTTTGTCATATAAAATAAGCATTTTTACATTATATACATATATATAAATATATATCTCCATCTCTTCTATTTGAAGCTGTTTGCATCGTGCCGCATCCTGCTAGTATAACCACCTTAGTATGGAAGTAGAAGTCTCTTGTCAACCGGCACTTCTTTATTTCCCCCTGCATTTTAAAGACATCGCTGCCAAGGAGAGGAAAAGATTTCTGATAAAATTCCCAGCCTTTATTCTCTTGGTGTTTCAGAAATGTCAATAAAGTGTGAGCGGAGGAATCTCTGGTTATGCCAAAGCATTTTCTCTTCATAAGCATAAACACGTTGGGTGAGGCTTTGCAGAGCACAGGAGAGCGCACGCTCCGACACAGCCTCCACCGTGTTCGCGTTTCAGCAATAACTTGAGCGAGGTTTCCAGCTGTACGGTTTGGACATGTTGCACCGCCTTCGTCCTTATTTTTATTTTCCTCTTTAAGCTGTTTTGAAAAACAAACTGTTACCTTTAAGCCTGGATAATGGAAGATTATGCATCTCTTGTATATGTATTCATAAAATAAAAACGAAAGCAGAAATATTTCCCGTATGAGACTGCTATCTTGTCTTTTTTCTGCATGTGTTATAGTTGCTCCTCTCAGTTTGTGAAAAAGGTTTTCGTCAGCCCTTTTTGAAAGCAAAACAAAGCCAAAAAGCCACAACGCTCTGAACTTAGTACTTAAAACATAACCCTATAGGCAGGTTTAAGAAGACTTTTGCCATGGGTGGTTCTTATTATTAAAAAAAAGTCCCCTGCGCAGATTTTAAATTATAAAATGGATTCCTTACTAATGGTAAGCAATCCATTGGAAATTTTTGTGTGTTTTGCTGTGCCGTGCCCTGCTTCCGAGGCATGGGGGATGCTAAGGGCAGGCCTGGGGTGTGCGAGGGCCCTTTTGGTTGGGCTGGAGGCCCCCGTGCCCTGCGGAAGGAGGCGTTTGCAGAAGAGGGTGACTTGCCAGGAGGTGCTTATGGTCTGCATGACCCCTGGGTTTGTGGCACCGCTGAAGGAAAAGGGGTAGCCCGAGGATGCCAGCCTAGCTATCCTCCTGATTTTCTAGTGCTGTTGTGCAGCGCTTGTGAGGTGGTAAGGTTTTCTCCAAGAAGAGCTTTCCTTTATGTTTGTCTTCACTGAGCGTTTGCTGATGGACCTGCTCCCTTGCCACGCTGTACTGCAGTGACTTGGTTAGGGAGGCACTCGCAGTTTAAGGGCAGACACATGCTCCACGTACAGGAAAGCCCA